TGTCACATACTGGATAATTTGATTTGATCCATCTGGTACTGAATCTGATGTTTCTTTCCTTATATCCGGAGGTAACCCTGTCAATTGTTCTGGCCACTGATCTTGTAATCCCTTATAAGATTGCTCCATGATGACAGTAAAGTAATATGAATGAATGACCTTGGTTTTACTGTTACAAAACCTTTCATTAATTATTAACATGTTTTTATAATTAAAGTACATGACAATACTTAAATAAAAATGTGAAAAATGCATAAATGGAAAAATAAGAATGCAAAATGTGCAATTCAAAGATATAAAAAGTAAAAATACAAAATGAAAATGCACAGATACAAAATGTAAATGCATGTATGAAAAGGTGTTACTTAAGAATGATCATCTTAGAACAGATTTCATTGAACACAAAAGTTTCGGTACATCAAACAAAACTTTTACATGTAGGGGACAACTTTTAATCCTAACTTCAACAAAACTTTACATAAAGGGAATAACTTTCCCATTTTATTCTCTAAAACCAAGTTAGATTATCATCTTATGGGCCATATTGCTTGTCTGGACTGCAGCTTCTTTCATGACATTCTGGGGTTTTTTCATCTCCTATGTTAATTCTTGGAGTTGATCATTTTCCTTTGCGAGAGAACATTTGTGTTCAAAAAGTTTTTGGACAAAATCTTCATGTATGTTGCAACTCTTTTTCAGTTTGGTGACCCCTGCTATCCACTCTTCTGGGATGTTTCCTATACCAGCATTTTGAAAAGCTTGACTGACCTTCTGGAAGTCTTCATGTATGGTTTCCATTTTGGTGCTCAATTTATTGTTTTCAATCTTCAAATGACGTATTTGAGCTTCAAACCTCAGCAAATCTTCTTCTCTCTGGGCGCACCTACTGATATTCTTACCTTTGAAGACTTTTGGTATTAATCTATCAGGACCCTTGGTTACCAAACTAGGTCGATCATTTACCATAAATTGTAAGATTCCATGATTCAAAAGACTTTGGACTCGGCGTTTGAAGGCAAGACAATTTTCGATAGTATGTCCTTGAGCTCCGGCATGATATTCACAATGAACGTTGATGTCATACCAATTTGGATACGGAGGTTGGAACGGTTTTATATAATATGGATCCACTTCTCGTGCTTCAAATAGCTTCTCATACAACTCTTTATATGATATAGGTATAGCATCAACATGAGAACCACCTTTTGTCTTGGATTGAACCTGAGTTTTAGTCATTGGGAGTATACCAAACTTTGATGACTTCTGATCACATGATTTCTTCTCATCTCTGAGAGCTTTTACAGTGGTCACCATTTCTTTGGTATCTCCATACGATTTGTGAATACGAATGATGACTGTCTGTAATTTCTCAAATTGGTTAAGAATCGAAATCCCTTGCGTATCTGAAACTGCAGAGTTAGGTTCATTGAGCTCTCTCTCTTTCTGTGCTGGAATCTCTTTTCCTTTGGCCAAAACAGATATTCTATCCATCATTTTGGACATCTGCTCTCTTATTTCTCGTATCTCCTTTTGCTCTTCAATGGGCATATAATCTTTGGGTGCATAGCTCTTCTCTATCTTTAGAGTTCCCTCAGGATGTCTTTTCTTGGCTGCGTCATATTTTGTTCGATCATAAAACTTTTTGTCCATTTATGATTTCTTTCTAATTTGATGAACAATCTTTTCAGTTAACACCTTTTGGTCATGATCATGCAATGCAAACAAAAGAAAATAATTTAAACAAATTAGAGCAAAAATAACATACATGGGAAAATAAGAAAAAAAATAAAATGGTTAATACCAACTAATTGAAAGAAAAAATTTATTTATCATGATATATAATAAATCCTAACCTCATGCTTTCTAATTCCATGCTTTGTTTGGAAAAATTAACCTAACTGCATGATTTCTAGTTCGCATGCATTTATTCAGGAAAAAGAAAAGGAAATAAAATAAATTAAAATCTAAAGTTTATTTCTCCTTTGTGTATACCTATGAACAGAGGTTCAGTATTGTCTTAGATCAGAAGAATTTCTAGGGTTTATAATATGCAGAGTTTCAGTTCTAGGAGTAAAGGTACTCGAATTGTCCTTGTTGATACCCCCTTGAGCTGTCAACCCTCAATCCTAGTCCATTACAGACTTAAACGGATCGAGTTCAATTTGAGGGGACACATTTCTCTATACCTGACACGGAGAATAAATTCTCACGAAGTCATAGAGCATATGAACCCCGAAAGTTACTTGCTAGGTCTGACACGGAGAATAAATTCTCACGAAGACGTCGCTTTCACTCCCACTTAAAAGGGACAAACTCAATTATAGAGCTTTATGTTATGCAATGCAAGTGTTGTGTGTGAGGAGAAATATTCAAACCTCTAACAAATAAATAAAATAATTAATACCTGAATAAAAAAACAATATTAATATAAAAATAATAAATAATAAAAATTTAAAAGAAAAGAATTAAAAATTAAATAAATGAATTTTTAATTTCTAATTAATAGAGACAATTTATAATTGATTTTAAAGTTTGACAGTCCCCAGCGAAGTCGCCAAGCTGTCGTAACCCGGTTTTCGTCCGGGCACGAAAAATTTATTTGGCGGTGAAATTGATGTGAATAAATAGTTTTGAAAATAATTTGGGAGTCGCCATCGGCCTTTTGGGTCAGGTAGGTCGAATACCTAAAAATTATTTTTTTTTAAAAGAGTTTTAAGAAAACACCAAAAAAAAAAATGAACTGATCTGCGTTTATAACCAAAAATTCGTTCTTTTTAATAAAAAAAAGGATTCGTGGTCGGTTACGTTTAGGGAAGGATTAGCACCCCTACAACGCCCAAAATTGGTACTTTATTAACTATAAATTGTCTCTATTATTAGAAGAAAAAATTTCGAATATATTTAATTCATAATCTTTTTATTTCAAATTTATAATTTTAAGAAAATATATTAATATATAAATAAGATATTTATTTATTTAGAAATATCAGAAAAGGGCTTCTAGGTACCTTAAGACAGCTCTTTCCTTCTATATTAATAATAAATACGTAATAAAAACTAAATTATAATTTTTATAATAATTAGTTTTAAAATACCAAATAGGACATCCAGTTGTATTAAGACTGCCCTTTTCTTTAATATGGAAAATAAATAAACATTATTAAATAAATATATATATATTTATAATATAGTAAAACAATAATTAAAGTAATGATTTAAAATATATTAAAATAATAAAATTAAGTAAAAAATAACTAAACAATGACTATAAATAAATAAAATAATAATAAATGTAAAATTATTTAAAATAATGAACATAACTTGAATCATCATAAAATAAAATTACTAATAGTGTAATTAATCCTTAATTAATTAATCATTGATTAAAATAAAATTTATCAAAGTTTAAAGGCTCTATCTCGAATAAATAAAAACTTTAAATGCTAAAAATGTAATTTAGCCTTATTTAATTAATCGGATTAAAATAAATGTTAATAAAATTATAAGGTACTAAATCAGTTATTTACCCTAAATATATATATAAACTGATAATGACTAAAATGTAATAAAATAAAATTGAATAACATAATTAAAAGAATCAAAATTTGCTTCCAGTGACTAATTTGTAATGTTATAAACTCGGAGTGACTGCGGAAAGGGTTTACCCATGATGGAAATTACACAGATACCCTCCCCAGAACGACGTCGTTTGGGGAGGGTTTTAAATACCCTAAACGCTTGGCCCGAAGGGCCAAGCTTCTCATTTGCCTATTTCCATTCTCTCTCAAAACGAGAGAACCAGAGTTCTCTCTGGTTTCTCTCTAGTTTCCCTCGCCGGAGGGAAACCGGCAGCCATAGGCCACCATACTCCGCCGCCGACCACCGCCGCCGGCCACCGTAACGGTGGTCGGAATTCACCAAAAACACCCCCAAAGCGTAGATCTAAACGTCCTAAGACCGATTCCGGTCTTTGTTTTCCCTAAAAGACTCCTAATCGGAGTAAATCTACGAAAATACCTTCGGTATTTTCTGTTCTCCGGCGATGTTTAGTGCTTCCGACGGTGGTCAAGGCTCCAAGGGTAAGTTTCTTTCTTCTTTCTTTGCTTTCTGTTTTGGTTTTATGTTGGTTGTGGGTTCGTTGGTAGCTTTCTGTCTTCCTTTTTTTTTCTTTTTCTTTGCTGGATCTCTCGTTTCTCTCGTGTTCTCCGTTGCTCTCTGTCCTTCCTCTCCTCCTTTGTTTTGCAGGTTCAGTGGTAGCTTTTATAGCCACCACAGTGTACTCCTCGGACCGGTCCGATCTAGCATCTTTGGTGAGTCACCTAGCTATGGCGGTGACTCACCATAGAGCACTGATTTGGTGAGGCAGCTGGCTTCTGGAAAGCTCGACGAGGTCGGCGTCGTGGAAGCAGCAGCGTCGGCAGTAACTGGTTGGACCATCTGGCATCAGAGAGTCGGTCGTCGGGGTGGCTTCAGGGGTGGCGCCGCATCTGGAAACGGCTGGCTGCTAGGGTTAGAAACCCTAGGGTTTTCCATCTGGAACCCTTTTGGGCCGTTGGATCTTGCCAGATCCAACGGCTGATGATGTTGACGGCGGCTGGGGGCTAGGGTTTGAAAACCCTAACTGAAACCCTAAATTGATTCAGGGTTTCCATTTGGGTTTGGGATTTGAATGTAATTGGGCTGTGATTTGGGCTTTGTAATATTTAAATAATAAATAATATTACTATTAATAATAATAATAATAATAATAATAATAATAATAATAATTTTAATAATAATAATTTAAAATGAAAAAATTGATTTCTACACGATCCCTTTTGTAGGATTATAAACCCAAAACCGAACAAAATTATATGTTTTTTGTTTGGTCTGATTCATGACACCTATGGATGACCCCTTTTTTTTATAATTGTTTTTGGAGTAAAGAAACAACTACCGGGAAACCTCCTCCTTGTTCGAAGTTCATGAACTCAAGTCCTTCCTCTCTCCTATATAAACCCCATTTCCCTCCTTCATCCCTCACCCCACTTTTTCTCTACTGATCTGCAAAAAACATAGGAAAAAAAAACAAGAACCGAGAAAAACCCTTGAAGATATTCACTTCACCATGCCTTCTTCACAATGTTTTAATCTTGTTTCAAGATGTACGGTTTTCCCGGAGAGAAAATCCGACATCAAAACCTTAAAGCTCTCAGTTTCTGACATCCCTATGCTTTCATGTCAGTACATTCAAAAAGGGGTTTTGTTGACATCTCCTCCTTGTTCATTCGACGAACTCGTTGATTCCCTTAAACAATCCCTTTCCACTACTCTCTCCCACTTCCCTCCTTTGGCCGGTCGTCTCACCACCGACCACGACGGTCACGTGCACATCACCTGCAACAATGCCGGCGTTGATTTTCTTGTGGTGAAATCCCCTAATCTTGAAATTCGGAACGTTTTGTGTCCCGGCGATGTCCCGGAATGTGTCAAGGGGTTCTTCACTTTTGACAGGACGCTTAGTTACTCCGGCCACTTCAAGCCCTTGGTCGCGGTTCAGGTAACCGAGTTAGTAGACGGGGTTTTCGTCGGCTGCTCAGTGAACCACGCCGTGACGGACGGGACTTCGTTATGGCACTTTTTCAACACCTTCGCTGAGATTACTAAAGGGGGTTTGAAAATATCGAAAACTCCCGATTTCTGCCGTGAAACGGTGTTTAATTCTCAAGCGGTGCTTAAGTTCCCTCCCGGAGGACCCACCGTTACTTTCGCCGCCGACGAGCCGTTGAGGGAAAGGATTATTCATTTCAGTAGAGAAGCGATTTTAAAACTTAAATACAGAGCTAATTACGGTCGTTTATTAACTAAACAAACGAACTCCGAGGTTCTAGGAAAGATCTGTAATGACAGTTGGAAATCCGTTAACAACGAAATAAACGGTACGGTAAAGAACAAAATTGATGAGATTTCGTCTTTCCAGTCGCTTTGCTCTCATCTATGGAGGTCGGTAACACGCGCTAGGAAACTGGAGCCGACGAAAACGACGACGTTTAGGATGGCGGTGAACTGCCGTCATCGGCTTGACCCAAAGCTCAACCCGTACTACTTCGGCAACGCGATTCAGAGTATCCCGACTTACGCTCAGGCGGGCGAGTTACTGGCGAAGGACTTGAGCTGGGCCGCCGATCTGCTCCACAAAAACGTGGTGGCTCACGATGATGATACGGTGCGGAGAGGTGTAGCGGATTGGGAGATGCAACCGAGGCTGTTTCCGTTGGGGAACACTGATGGTGCGTCGATCACCATGGGAAGTTCTCCAAGATTCCCGATGTACGGTAATGATTTCGGGTGGGGTCGACCTTTGGCGGTGAGGAGTGGTAGGGCCAACAAGTTTGATGGGAAGATCTCAGCCTTCCCCGGAAGAGAAGGAGATGGGAGCGTTGACCTGGAGATTGTTTTGGCGCCTGATACTATGTCGGCGGTTGAGAATGATCCCGAGTTCATGCTGTACGTATCAGAAGTGGTGTGACTGAATACACCGTAACTGAGTCACTATTGAAAAACGATGAATCCCATACGGTGATCAGTTGTTTAATTGATCATCTTTGGACAAATCATATGATCTAAAGCCGTATGTTTCCCCCTATTTTTACCTAATTCAGATTTTAATATCCACACGTGTTTATTCTGAACTATCTTTGCATCTTCTTCTGTTTATAAGCCGCAACTAAGAAAGAAAAGTGATAACAATGGATGTGTTTTTAATAGTAGTATTATTATAAGATAGTGTTTGTTTTTAAAAAATTAACCTCTTAAATATTACATACGCTACATACGCAGCTGCTCGAATCTATAATCTTTGGAGAGAACAATATTTTTATTTATCATTGAGGTCATTTAATGAGCTCATATAAATACATGTTAGATAACAATGTACGAGAATAATCTAACGTGAGAATGATTCTTTAATATCATGTAACGGTGATAATGTTTTCGATGAGAGTAATACTATGTGTAATCCTTAGATTTAAGTTACTAAAATTAGAGGCGGATGCACTAAATTCATTAAGGGCAAGTGCATTTCATTATTTAAGAAAAAATATGAAATTTAATTTAATATGTTAAGAAAATATAAAAAATAAAAAAATTTACATACCCATTATTTAAAAAAAATATTAAAATTTTGGACGTGATTCATAAAATTTCAAATTAAGTGGGAAGAGGAATACACCCTAAGAGTTAATTTTAAAGATTTGACTTAAAAGAAGCTTAAGAAATGTGCCCTAGAGCATAATGAAAATCCTTGTTTATGCAATTCAAAACGGGATGAGAAGGGACGGAGATGTTGAAAATTTAAACTCAAAATTAACATTAAATGCAATTTAATATATTCTTTTATCAATTTATTTTATCAATGTATCAATATTAATCCTATAAAAATAATATAAAATTTATATTAAACAAAAATTGATATGACTCGTAATTTTATGGATATTAGCTAGTCTTATGAATGATTTTATAGGTGAAAAAAAAACTTAATCAAGTATACGTATGACCACCCTGTTCTAAGATGCACCAACAACACTTTCAGGACGATCGTCGACATATCAAGGCCCATAATTAATACAAAGAGACACCGGTTAGAAAAAGAGGAAAAAATTTAAGAAAATAGGGCCCTACCGGGTTCGAACCGGTGACCTCTTGATCTGCAGTCAAATGCTCTACCACTGAGCTAAGGACCCACGATGATCCCATTTTAAATAATAATTTATTTGATCTAATATATTCTAAACTGAAATGTAAAAAAAATCACATTGTACTTATATTGGGGTATACTAATGGAGCCATGGGGGGGGGCAAATTTACTTTTCGGTAAAATAGTATTTTAGACAACTTTTTAGTTTAAATATTAATTAAATAATATAATTTTTAAATTTTTATATTTAAATACTTAATAAACTTTTAACCCTTCTAATATATGATTCTAACTTTGTCCCTCATATATTCAATCATCTTTCTACTTTTCTTCCTCCCAATTTTGTTTTCATCTTAAAGCAAAGCCTTAAAGTCATTGATCCTAGTGACAAAAGCAGTGACAGAGCTATAGCTTGACGAGTACACCTTAAAATTTGAATTTTCTTCGAATAGTTACTTATTTTATTTATGTGTTTATAAGGATGAACTTAGGTGAGGGTGGGCGTCCCCTAAAATTTTATAAGTTTCTCTCATCTTAAAATTTTAAAAATTCGCCATCCCTAACATAAAATTTTTCGTTTGTCCTTGAGTGTCAACTTTAAAATTTTATTTGTATATATATATATATATATGTGTGTCCATCCTCAAAATATATTTAGATATACTACTCTTGACACAAGATCTGGAGACTAGGGCACATGTATCCAGCTTGAGGCCTTGTTAGAGCATTGAATCAAAATGGGAAAATTGGGTGAAGGATTTTCAGCTTCAATGCCAACTTTTGGAGTCATTGAATGAACCTAATGTCACGACGGCGAGAAAGAAATGGAAATGAAGAAAGTGCATGTTTGTGGTCAGCCTCAAATGGACCATCCAAAAGGAACATTAAAGCTTACTAACTCTACCCCTTTACACTTTTTTTCTGTACATGATACGTCCTTGTCCGTTACTGTCTGCGTTGTCACTACCTTCATTTCTGCAAGTGTCTAAAAAAGCAGTGGAATAGTATCAGTGACTAATTCAAAAATATTTTTTTACAGTTAGTATACATATGTTAATAACATAAAAGTTTTAAATAAAACGAGTATAAAAAAAAAATTACGTCGATATATGAAACGAATGGAAATGCTCTGGGCGCACGTTAGCAGGCCTAATGGTCTCTCAGATTTTCTTCCTCGTTTCTAATCCTTTCTCGTTCTTGTTCTTAGTGAGATTTCTAGGTTTTCTTCTTGTTGCTGTATGGAGTCGCGGTCATTGAGCCTCGATTGGAAGAAGCTCTTCGTGGGATCGAAGGAGCAGTCCCTCGACTTTTTTCCTCCTGAGATGCGTGATGGAGTGGCCACTGTTATACCCCCGGCTGAGGTAATTGATGAAGGTATAGCTGATTGGAATAGTGCTCTTGTTGGGCAATTCATTGGTTCAGCCCCGAGCTTCGGATCTATGAAGTGAATCATTGAATCAATTTGGGGGAACTCTTCGCAAGTTAAGGTCAGTATCGCTGGCCCTAATCTTTATGTGTTTTCGTTCTTGGATGCTGGCCTGAGGGACTGGGTTCTAGATAATGGACCTTGGCATGTCCAGATTAAGACACTGATTTTAAGGAATTGGGTTCCTAGTATGCAGAAACTTAGTTTTGATCTCTCCTTTATGCCAATTTGGATCCAGCTTTATAATGTTCCTTTAGAGCTCTATTCTCAAAAGGGTTTGAGTTACATAGCGAGTGCCTTAGGTAACCCTCTGTTTATGGACTCGGTTACAGCTTCAAAGAATAGGCTCGAATTTGCCAAGGTTTGTGTGGAGGTTGAAGCAGGGGTTGTCATTCCTGATATTATTCATGTTATTGTTAGTGATGGTTCCTCTGTTAGTATTAAAGTGCATGTGCCTTGGATGCCCAAGTGTTGTGATAAATGCAAATCATTTGGACATCACGTTAATTCTTGTTCTGTGGATAGACAAGTTCCTCAAAAGCTCAAAGAGGTCCAGGTTTGGAGGAAAAAGGATGTTATGGTGCCTGTAAGTAAGGGGGACTTACCAGGGGTTTCTACGGGGATTGCTGGATCAGTCAGCAGTTCCAAGGGGGTGACAGATTCTTTCTCTGGAAATCTAAATAACAATGTAGAAGAAATGGTGAATGGTCTGCAAGTTGGTGCAGCTGTTGAGACAACAGTACTTGCATTGCAGGAGGCTACTGTGCCTTTTTTGAAGGAAGCCAGTGTTACCTCCTCACAGTTTCCTGCTGCTGATTTGTTGAGTACGGTGCCCCTGACGGTGATTGACCCTTGTGAACAGGATAAGGGCCATGCTACTGAGGGTAGTTTGAGCCAGTTACAGGAAGTGGTTCATTCTGTGGATTTCCCTTCCCTCCAAGACTCCTTGAGAAAGAGGACTAAGGGAAGGAAAAAGAGGCTGTTAGTTCTTCCAGTAAAACGGAGACTGTGGTTGAGGGTCCTAGGAAAGCCCGAGTAGCTTCTATGGGTGTGGCAATGTTGCTTAACGAGATAAAATCTAAGAAAAAAAGATCATCTTGAGAAAGCTAGGTGTACGATGGGTGTTCCGGGCACTGGCAATAGTGCTCAATCTTTTCCAGCTTGAATGTTGGTTGCTTTTTGGAATGTTAGGGGGATTAATAACCCCCTTAAGCAATTGAAGGTGCTTAGAAGATTTGATGCTTGTGGTGTGGATGTCTTCTGTGTAATGGAATCTCGCATTAAAAGAGTTAACTCTGATAGGTTTCTAATGCATTGGCTGGTGACTGGAATTATGCTGAGAACTATGACTTTGTTGAGGGAGGCAGGCTTTGGATCTTTTGGAGGAAGCATTTGCTGTTCATTGTTTTGAATTGTTGTGATCAAGCTATAACTATTGTTGGGGTTGTTGATGGGCATAAGACTGCCATTACTGCTGTCTATGGTAGCAACCATGGTGTTCTTAGACGGGGTCTTTGGTCTTATCTTGGTGCTGTTGATAAAGACATTGTCCTTCTCCTGGCTGGTGGGTGGGGACTTTAACATCATTGCCAAAGCTGAGGAGAGTTCTGACTTTGATGTCATGGGAGTCCACTGCACCCTGATATGAAGGATTTCCAGGAGTGTTTGGAGAGCCTAGACCTTATTGATCATCCTTTCTTGGGCCTTTATTCACCTGGTCCAACAAGCAGGATGACTCTTTCTTGGCCCGCAAGCTTGACAGAATTTAGTCAATGATCAATGGTTATTGGATTTCCCAGACTCTTTTGTTGAATATAAAGCCCAGGGGGTTTCTGACCATTGTTTAGGCTTGTTGTGGTCACATAAGGCAACAATGACCATGCACCCAAACCTTTTAAGTTCTTAATTGTTGGATTGGCCATGATAGGTTCCTGATCACTGTAGAGACTCCTGACAGAGACATTGTGGAGGCTTGCTATGTGCTGTTTTTTCAATAAGCTTAGGAGGCTTAAGCCATTACTCAAGGAGCTTAACAATGAGTTTTTCTCTGACATTTCTGGTAGAGTCAAAGATAAAAGGTCTGAATTGGAGCATATCCAAACTTTTAATCTGACTCACACAGCTCTAAGAAGGATTGATGATGAGAATAGGGTTTATTCTGAACTTTTGGATTTGGAAACTGCTGAAGCTGCCTTTATAGACAGAAAGCCAAAGCTCATTGGCTTAGTGGACTTGAATACAAAGTCAGAAGGTTCAGGGAGGAACACTATCAGAGTTATTAAAAGCGAGGATGGGCAGGTGTTTGATTCTTTTAAAGATATGGCTGCTGAGTTAGTGGGTTTTTTTACTAACCTCATTGGCTCTCCTGACCCCTCAGTTAAAGGCTGCCCTGCTAAAGATCTGAAGAACTTGATTAATGTTTGTCTTCCTGAAGGTGCATATATATGTCTTACTAAGGAGGTGAGTGATGTGGAGATCAAAGAGGCTCTCTTCAGACAAGGGAAGGATAAAAGCCCTGGCCCTGATGGCTACACTGCTGGCTTCTTCAAAGCTGCTTGGAGCATTGTGGG